GTGGGTGGGTGTGTGGGTGGATGTGTGTAGGTGTGGGTGGATGTGTAGGTGTGTGGGTGGATGTGTGTAGGTGTAGGTGGATGTGTAGGTGTGTGGGTGGATGTGTAGGTGTGTGGATGTGTGTAGGTGTGTGGATGTGTGTGGGTGTGGGTGGATGTGTAGGTGTGTGTGGTTGGAAAGGGAGAGAGAGAGAGAGAGAGAGAGAGAGAGATGTGTGTGTAGAAAAAAAAAGAGATGTGTGTGTGTGTGTGTGTGTGTGTGTGCATTTGTATGTGTATGTGTGTGTTTGTTAGAGAGGGGGTGAACTTCATGTTGCTATTTCAAGTATTTAAATATGTTTCTCGTATATGTTTCAGCTAGTAAGTGGTACTCGTACATGTAGTGTGAGCCCAAGTCTAAGTTCCACCTGCTCGTGGACTCTCTGAGATTAACTCTTGGAGGAGGAGTATTTGGTGACAATGCTCGAAGGCGCAGTGCTTTATTTCCTTTTAAAAAAGAAACACTACTTTGATATTAATTTATACAGATTTTTCAACTCTGGCTTCCTTATCTAAAACCTTAAAAGGCGGTCAACAGCATTCCTGCCATGAAGTCTGCAGATTATTTGTGTTTCTGATATGTGTGTATGACGATTCAGATGTTGCAGCCTTTAGTCTGATGCTGATCTGAGAAACAAAATTATGCCCGTTGCGTCCTTAATAAGTTAAGGCAGTCCCTTTGCGCTACCCACTGGGGGAACTGTGCAGTCCCCTAGCACTACTTTGCGCACTGGGAACACACGTACACCCCAAACAGTCTCCGATGAAACCAGCCTCGCGTCGCCTTGTGACGTCGACAAAGTGGGCCCATCACGGCGTGGGACAAAAGCCCAAAGAAGGATTGCGATACCTTGGAAGTAGATCATCTTTGGTAGTACTAATAATAGAATCTACTACTCCTACTACTAGATCTAGATATTATTGGCACAGACTGCAAATATTTTAAATTTAGGAAGAGTAGACCTACCATGTAGTGTAGTGGACAGTCTATGTCATAAATACTACTAGATCTAGATTTGGATATCTAGATCCAGAATCTATATGTAGCTAGATCAACAAACCTGTCCATATGAATAATACATTCGCCTTAAATAAACAGTGTTTGGCTCTAGATCTATCCCGTCATACTAATTAACTTAACTTGATTTAGATAATCATGTATCAGTAGGATCTAGATCTGTCTGATGATGGCTTGTTGACCTCGATCCAAAGTTCAAATGTTGTTTCTTTGCAGTCCCCCAGTGCACAAAGCAGCACTTAGCCTAGGGGACTGTAAATCTCCTCTGCATAGTTGTTTAGAACACAGATACGATGAGGTTCTGGTACTACTATATTAAATTTCTTTCTAATTTTTGTTTGGTTTCATGCAGGTCTGCCTCGGTTTTATTGGCCACAATGAGAATAGAAAAGTCAAGGAAAGAAGTGATTTTGCCCTGGGTTGAAGTAAGTAGTTTTGACGTAGCTTTGAGCGTTGTTAAGATCAGTCAGAGTTGTTTTAAATCTGCGAGTGTACAGTCTGATGTTGATATTAATTGATGATGCCGTCCACATTATTTTTTTAATCACATTAACGTGAAGGGTCGGTTGCGATGTTTTAGCACCAGGGGATAGGGCTACCGAAGTCCACATAGATGTTCCAGTCTTTACTTGGATTTAGTTGGATCCAGATCTAGAATCATAGCAGGCAGCACATGTCCATAGCTGCTCATCTCTCCTTTCCAGCGTCCACCTCAGGGTCTAACTGCTAATTGTCTCCACGAGGAGCTGGTTTGAGACACGCCTGACTACTCCTCGGAGCAAACTTTTTTTCGCTGTGCCCCGCACACACTTTTCTTCTATTGTGCTGAGTGTGTGGGAGTCTGTCTCTTCTTGGTCGTGAAGGCTCTCCTTGCATCTGGCGATCACCATTGGTGGGTCGAGCATGATTCGGCCATTGGGTGCTGCTTTGTCGGCAAGTTCATCAGCACGCTCATTTCCGTGCACCCCGACGTGACCAGGGCAGAACACCCATTTTATTCTTAGGAGGTGGCTATTTGCAATGGAAGCTCTCCAGTCACTGTAGAGCCACCCACTCCTGATTTTTTCTAGGGTGCTCATCGAATCTGTGACAAACAGGGCATGTTTATACGCTTCCATACTGATCCATTCCAGCGCCTCTGTTATTGCCTTGACCTCCATTGACATGCTCGACATTGATCGGTAAAGGAAAGAATAAGTGGGGTGAGGACTAATTTCAAAAGCTTACAAATCTTAAGATGTTGGCCATCTTGTTGGCTGAAGGGCTTCTGGGGGCTAAACGGCAGGACCCCATACCTTCCTGGTGTGGTATATTGTTGTACAAAACATATAATTATTGACCACGACTAAAGCCAAATCGTTGATGTCTGTAGCGAGGATAATAATATAATATTATGGAGGACATAATAATAAATAGCAATTGCATAGCGCATATCCCCGCTCGACAGCAAGCTCTTTATACACTATGTTATTACCCCAGCAGACCATAGGATACTCAGAGGGTATCCTTGACCCAATCAATGCCACGTAAGTGACAAGTTGTTTGGGGATACTATCCAGTCAATTGGAGGCTTTGACGACAGGACCATTCATTGCCTATATTAAAGATACACACAAAGGAAGGGGGTGGGGACCAAGTTTGGAGAGATGTCAGGGAATGGTTCATCACTGAGATCTCCACAGTCGTCAGTCCGTATCCTTGCAGGCCCTTCGGTTGTCGAGAAAAACAAGCTCTTAGACTTAACTGGCTGCCCATTGCAGTCTCATGAAACAGGTTGGTGCCTAACCTAAATCCGATGCACCTGGCTGAGGAGTACAATATTATCAAATTTTGGAGATGAACCCATTTTAAAATAGGTCGATAGAGAATTTTGTTAAAGTAGAAAAAAAGTAAAATGAAATGGCTCGCAAGAACAACGCAACAGAAAATATTCATTTAAATATCAGGCAATGTGATATAAACTCCAAACAAGTTTGTTAGGGCAGAATTAAAGCTAAAACATTATTGTACCAAAACAAAGCAATATCATAGTAAAATGAAGCATAATATATGTTTACGTGCAGTCAAACATTTGTTTTCATATCTTCCGATCTTGTCGATTTGCAGTTTTTTGTATGTAACCACAGGGAGTGAAGAGCGACTTCCAAGTGTCTCGGAAATTCTTGTTCATTCCGACGTACACAATAAAATTACAGGAACTGTTGGTACATCCGACAATGTTAAAGAACTGGTAACCAATACGGCCAACATTATTCGGCGCGTCTCCAGTCATCGTGTAGTAACCATACTGGGGCAGATAGTTGGGTAAGGAAACGATCGCACAAGTAACGGTGTACATCGCACACACAGACAGTAGGATCTTGCTCGTGCGATTCGACTTTGTTTCTCTGGCTGCTCCATTCGACGTCATTTTTCTTCTCTTAGCGGACGCCATTTTGATCTTCACGGCAATGATGACACAACCAACTAGTGTGAGCCCAGGGGGTATTTTTAGAGTGAGGTATTTTATCATTTCTTCTAACACGTCGCCCACGTCTTGTTCTTGAAAATATCGATCTGAACGTTCGATTATGCCCATCGATATGTTAAGTTTCGGATAAAAAACGTACTTGAATTGTGACCAGAGGGAGGAGTAGAAAATTACAATAATCCAAAACAAGCAGATGATGCCCACAGCTGTCCATGTTCTCGCAGGTGTAATAATTCGTGAGAACTTCATAGGCAGGAACACAGCAACAAGTCTCTCAGCCGTGATCAGCATGGGGATAGCTAGAGAAGACAACCCGATCGCGTAGTCGAGAAAATGAAATATCGAGTAGAGGACGAATAAAGTATGGGCGGTCACCTCGTTGTAATCCCAGGCGAACGCTACGCCAGATAACTCGTACAAAAGTTTAGGGACGCTGTTGAAAGCGATGAGATAGACGAGGTCACCTATGGCGAGGCAAAACAGCAGAATGTTGGAGCATTTGTGCAGTCCGTGCTTTAGTAAGACGATGATGCTGAATACATTACCCAGAACCCCAAGGGTGGAGATGGTGGGTGTGACGCCGTACATGAGAATCTGCATGACAAGGTGGGTGGTCTCATCGCTGAGAAGCTGCGCCCTTTCCTTATTTCCGAGGCTTGAGTGGTTGTTCATGCTGATGGTGTTTATGTGTCGTCCTGGTTTACTGGTTTGGGCATCAGACTCTCAGTCGTAATGCTGTGGGTTCTAGTCCTGGCTTCATGGGTGAAATGTGTATTATGAAAAGGTGCGTTACTCTTTTTTCCTCAGTCCATCAGGCTGCAAATTAGGAAAAAATCGACAGAGGGAAAATTCAGAAAGATAAAGTTTTCATCTTAAAAAACAGCCAAACTGCATACTATAGGAGACTTAGCAAACAGCTGACTTATCTAAGCGATTATTATGATGTTATGTGAGCATTCGGTGGGAAAATACTGAAAATCCCATTAAGATTTTTAGTAAACAACGTAACTTTATTTCTTCATTTTAAAATATCAACGTGAAACTTCCCTTTAAAAAATCTCATATTATTTTACCTTTAAAATGGAATGCACCAAGTTCTAATCATCTGCCTGATGGGTTGTTGCCATAGCATTTGTAATTGTCCCTACGGTTGTTTTGTTGTTACGTGTACATGTACTGGTTGTTGTTGTTGTTTTTTTTTTGTTTTTTTTTTTTTTGGGGGGGGGGTTGCTGTTGTGGCTGCGGATGTTGTTGCTGCTGTTGTTCCTACGTCAGTGAGCAGTGGGGGGCAATGTTCGGACTTCCAGATTAAGTCTCACAATCACTATCACCGGTGCCTGATGCGATAGTTTGCTGAAACCGGACTCCGTGGGGGTTTTTTTTTGGGGTTGGTTTTTTTGCTGTTGTTTTTTTTTTTTTTATCAAAAGAGGTAACGGGCTCTACATTATTGAGGGCGTACAACAGAGAACGTGCATTCTGGGATACTACAAATCTCTTATTTGCTGCGGGACAGTATGTCTCCTTGGGGATTTCTAATCAATTGCTAAAAAATCAAATGTGATTCAGTCACAATGGAAACGGCGACTCTATTGGATTTTGTTTACCTATTTTGATCCCGTTTTATTCACCTATTCACGAACAGATTCTCTTCTTATTTTGGCATGCATATATATAGACAACTGTGCGGGGAATATAATTTGTCTACAGGAATAGTTTGGTATAATATGCTTTAGTTTTCGTCATATGCCACTTGAGCTATTGCATGACGGTAGGGGGGGGGGGGGGACCCAAAAATCAAGATTTAAGATTTTTAATAAAAATCACAACCTAAAATATCAATTTTAAAAATTCGTTTATATTTGTTAGAACTTGGTGTTGTGAACATCTTGTAAAAGTGACTTTGAAATTGAAAGTAAAAAAAAAACCCCAAAAAACAGCAGAAAAAGGGTTGATGTGAGGCAAAAATAGCATTTTGAGAAAATAGTTGATTAAGTTCAGAAAAGATCGAAACACGTTTTCTTTCTTGCAAAAACCTGCAAAACATAATAGTTCAAATGAAACCATGGCAACAGCTGGAAAAAATAAACACAACAGGAATAGAATGGGGGGTATGATTTGTATGTATAGTATAAGGTTTTACGGCGCTCGCAACTGCTAAGGTCATATGAGCGCGCGAAACACAAGTTGTTCACCTCTGCGAAAGTTCACTTCACGACTGGTAACTAATTTACTTTAAAATGCTAAAAAGTTAAAATATTCAAATTTGGTGTAAATACATTTGTGATCTAAAACAACTTTTAAGTAACAATAAAAAAATTTAATGATATCAAATTCACTCTACAACTCGCCATAAAGGCCAATGGCCTTTATAAAATTTAAAATTCTGCTGGGAACAACGACGGAGAAAATATCCTGCAATTTCTTGCATTTATAATATTTCCTTCGGATCTCTCCAAAGTCTAGACATTCTGTTAAAATGTGTCTAATGGTAAAATCTGTGTCGCATCCGAGGGTATGATTTGTAGCAAAATAAAAAATAAGCCGCCATGCCTATGCAGCGTTAAAATGATCAAATGTAGGAATATGTGAAGATTTCTAGCAGCACGAGGAAATGTGCGCTGCTGAAGATGCCAGTTTCGTCGACTATTAAAATAAACTGAAAACGTTGGTCATATTTTTTTTCAATACACACCATCTAATCTTTAGTAGACCAATACATTGAGCCGATAGAAACGTTAAGCATAAAATACTTATTCTCACAATCATAAATGAAGACTGGCATGTTGTGATACGATTTGAAGACATAATTTTAATTGTAGTAAAATGTCTATTATGGTACTTGCAACACGATTTGATTATACAATGCGTGATGAGAAAATGTTTAGGCTTAACAGCCTCGTCAGCGGAATTAAGATCATTTCTTAGGACATGGATTTGCTTCACCCTCCCAGCAGTGCCACCCCGGGCTACATAAAGATGTGGGTAACGACTGCGCTTACTCAGTAATACAAAGTTCTATCTGACATTTTTGGCCGTTTTGAGTTACTAAAGACAAAGAGGTCAGAAAACAAACTTACTGTCTATTCTATCAAAATTGCAAGATTATTCGGAGTAGTTATCAAGATATTCAACGAATTGCATAGAGCTTGACGTTTTGTGAAACTCAAAAATGTTTTACGTCAAATTTCTCAAAAACTAGGTACATGTACTGAGCAGACACAACTTTGTAATTCAGGGGAAGCGACTATAGGATATCCCATCACAATTTCACGTCTTTTACTAAAAAAAATAACAACAAAAGACGGAGTGGTACCTTCACTTCATAGACGACTCCTAAGATGGTTTTCGATTCCGAAAAATCTTTTCAGAAAACGTTTCTACGAATTCTTTAAACTGTCAATGTATGCCAACTAGTTTAGTTTGCTAACAGTTTTTCGGAGCTTGCAACTGCATAAGGTTATTTCATCGCGCGGGACACACGTTCGTCATGTTCACGTTATACGGAACCAAAAGCGTACAAAACAAACGTAATAGACCTACGTGTGTAACGTGTAGCATTTTAAAACCAAGACTAACAGAAGAAAGAATTATAGGCATATGTTATGTTCTTTGAGAGTCTGTTAATAGCATTTAACAATAAATAAGTGTTTTATATATAATGTGATGTGGGGAAATTGCCTTAAACTTACACAAACGTACTTAACTATATGCTATCATGTCAGATTTACCATTATCAGTCGATGTATTTAAATCTGCACGTAAGCCAACCCCTTGCTCACCTCCCAACCAACTCTTAAAAGACTTTTTTTCTTTTTCAAAGTTTTTCCTTAATACACATCATCAGACGGGGAGTTTAAGCTCAACAGTAACCTGACAAGAATAAATAAAGTAGTTTTTGCTCAACTAATTATTGACTCCTGACAACCGATCATAGGAAATGACATTAAACGTACTATAATTTGATTTTCTGATACATTTCACTGTTGAATTGAGGTAAATCGTAGGGGCAGTGTATATATTTGCTCTAGAGTAGAGACGTCACTACATTCGAAGGGGAAATGTTTGCTGATTCCAGATATCAACTATAATTTCAGCAGAAAAAATAAGAATCTGTCAAAAATAAAACTCAGTTCTGAGATTCTTCAACTAAATAGGAGAAAAACGTTGATACTACCTTGAATAATATTGATATGCCACTAAAGTGACACGATGAAGGGTAATAATACGCGTCGTATGTTTATAATTTTGGTAGAGAAGGATGTTGCTAATGTGACGGTTCCAACAGTTGACATACACACACACATACACTCACACACACTCTCTCACACACACACACA